AGAACATCCTAGCCTACCTCAAGCTGGATAAAAAGGAGACATTTGAACACATTCAGAAATGTATTGGTAGCTGGAAACCAAGTCTCCCAATAGAGGATATGATTACGGGAGTCAAATCTACCAGGATAGCAACAGAAACATTGCAATTTGATTGCAGTAGTAGCTCCAGTGCACTGACTTGCATTGTTCTGGCAAAATGCCTCTATATCTCATGGGAAGTATATGCAGAGGCGGAGCTAGCTGCTCTGGCACCCAGAGTGGTGTGCACCTGGGGGAGGGGCTAGCCACCCACGGGGGCAGGGTAAGCGTCACAGGGGCGGGGTGAGCATCCCGGGGGGGCCACCCACTGTGAGTGTATGGGGGGCGGGGCAGCGATGTCACCCACCCTCAGGGATGGCACCCAGGGCGGATCATCCCCACCGCCTCCCTTCCTACGCCCCTGAGTATATGTAGGAGTTAATTCCTACAAAAACAGGAACTGCTTTATACCAAATCAGACCATTGGCTAATCTAGCTGAGTAATTTCTACACTGACTGGCTGGAGATCTCCAAAGTTTTAGGCAAAGTCTTTCCCAGCCAACCTGGAAACAGCAGAAAGTGAACATTTATTCAACTAAATGGATAAGAATCACCGCAGATTCCTTTTTCTGCCTAAGCCAGTTCTTGCTTCAAAATGCCTCTTTTGTAAAGACGAGGGTCAGTCAGCATCTGGTATCTTGGTTCTGTTCAAAAGTTCACATATTAGCAGTTCTTTCTCCTCCTCTGGCACCCTGACTAGCTCAGATATGCTCATGCCAGAAAGTAGGAAAATACAATTCTCTGCAATGTTTCCTTTTCTGACCCCAGCACCTGGGGACAAGCAGTCAGGGGAGACCCTAGACAAGAATTTGACAGGCACTGTTTAGTTCCTCAGGGATTCTTAGGGTAAAAGCACATCTCAACACTACACAGATATTCATGTAACTGTTGAACAAACATGCCTGGTAAAATTATGTTTTGTTGCATTTTTGATGCATTTGTTTTTTAACGTTTGTAAACTTTTCTGTATTTTTATGGACTTGTAAGTCGCTCTGAGACATTTTTTGTGGAAAGCGATAAATAAATGAAAATCATCATCATTATCAAAAGCTAATTTCCTCTTTACAAAACACAGCTTAGAGACCCTGACCTCCAGGGGAAGCAGATGGAAGGAGGGAGCTGAGCCTGTCCCTTACCCTCCCACATTTCCCCCAGCAACAGTTCCATGTACTTGTCCCCTGTTTCAAACATTGGTCAGGAACCTGGACAGCAGGGAAAGCAGATGGAACGAGAGCTTGGAAGAGAGAAGCAGTGAATGTGATGGGAAGATTGAAGTATTCATCTCCCCATTGCCACTGCTCTGGAAACTGAGCCCCCATGCCCACAGGCCTGTAGCACAAAGGAAAATCACCTCATGCAGTTAGATACCAAAGCACATTTACCCCTAAACTTTGGTAGTGCTTCTCCTTGATGTGAGACGATGGCATAGGGCTGCCTTGTCTTAATATAATGTGCTCCACAATCAACAAGAGAGGTGTGAATGGCAGCCCAGGCATGCCAAACAATGATATCTGCTCATCCATCGCTCCATTCAGACAAATGAAAGATTGCAAGCATATAAGGAAAGGCAGTGGCGGCAGCACAATGCCTTCTGCTCAGAATAAATTACCAGTTTCTCATGATCTTTCTGACAAGTAAATTGCCAGAGAAAATAGCACCGATAGGAACACAATGACAAAAATGCAGCAACTGTAAGTCCCCCTCATGTGTAGTTGTTTTCTTCCGTGCCTAATATTGTTTTAGTTGCTGGAAATAATTTTCTGTCTACAGCTTCTGCCATTCTTTCTCTCCCCCTCTTTCTGCATTGAAATAGGAAATACAAGATGTGAAATGTTTGTGTAGAGGAAGCAATAAACAGAAAAGCTAGAAGTATCAGAAGCAGACACTAGAAGCGCATTTGCAGCGAACTGCGCTCTAAACCAGTCTTCCCCAGATTCCCCAGTCTTCTCCAGATTTCTTTGACTACAACTCCCATTATCCATTACTATTCAACCATGCTCACTTTGCCTGGTGGAAGTTGTAGTCCAAAATGTCAAGAGGGTGCCAGGTCAGTGAAAACTACCCTAAACCATAAGAATGTAAGAAGAGCTCTTCTGGATTGGACCAAAGTCCAGCTTCCTGCTTCTCACTGTGGCCAATCAGATATTTATATGTGATTTCCCCACGAAATTGTGCTCAATCACAGCATAGTAAATGTATATCTGCATCTATATATCTACACGTGGGATGCAGGTGGTGCTGTGGGGTAAACCACAGAGCCTAGGACTTGCCGATCAGAAGGTCGGCGGTTCAAATCCCCTTGACGGGGTGAGCTCCCATTGCTTGGTCCCTGCTCCTGCCAACCTAGCAGTTTGAAAGCACATCAAAGTGCAAATAGATAAATAGGTACCGCTGCAGCGGGAAGGTAAACGGCATTTCCGTGCACTGCTCTGGTTCGCCAGAAGAGGCTCAGTCATGCTGGCCACATGATCCGGAAGCTGTACGCCGGCTCCCTCGGCCAATAAAGCGAGATGAGCGCCGCAAACCCAGAGTCGGTCACGACTGGACCTAATGGTCAGGGGTCCCTTTACTTTTACCTTTATATATCTACACACAGTCAGATCTAATCATATATCAGGTAAGGAAATAGAAAGAAAAAAGCAAAACCCAATCCATGCAACTTTGCATACTCATGGGAAGCCCATAAGCAGGGCATGACAGTCCTTGCTTCAAACACTTCAGTGTTCATGTCTGAGTAGAATGTTACATTGAACTCTGACAATGCATCTTCGGTGCCCGGATGGAGGATACAGACCAGGGATATGTGAGTTTGTGAAGAAGATAGCTCGCTGTATGAACGTAAAAGTTTCATTCAGTGCTCTGACCACATTTGCTTCTGGCCACCACTCTTGTGTGGCCCCCGGTAGGCTGCCTGGAAGGGAGTGTGGCCCCTGAGCTGAAAAACATTCCTCACCTCTGCACTAAGCCAAACACAAACCACCAGCCAAATTGGCAGCTCACCGCTGGTTCAATAAACCTCTTCTTTTTGCTGGGTCTTAAATAAAGCATGCTCAGACACACTATAAGGTTGGTGTGGTGTGGTTGTGGTCCACTTGGTGGGCGAGAAGTTGCAGAGGCCTGTGTGACCCGCACGATCCAGGCCACAGCAAGGTACAAGCTGAGAGCGTCACAGGAAGGTGCTTGCTGGAGCTGCCACAGAATGTATTTGCCTGAAGTTAATTTCCTTAGATGATCTTGGAATGCCGCACTCTCCCTGGGGCTGTTGTGTGAGCTCACCTGACATCGTGAGTTCTCTGATTCCCCTCACCCCCGTCTTTGTAGGGTTTTTTGCATGCTGCTGTGTTATTTCTGGTCTGGTGGGAATGTGGATTGTGAAATACTGTAAAGGAAATCATGCCAAAGGTGACTGGAACACGTGAGCTCCCACAAGTGAGGAGTCAGATTACAGTTCTCTTTTTATGACTAACAGTAGTGATCCTGTGTCCTTCATTTGTAAGGGGGCTGTTCCCAGGTGGCTGCCTGCAAACTGGTTGTAGAATAAAGAATCATAAAATTGGCGTTTCCAGCACCATGCTCTAACCAACTGAGTCCAAGTCAACCTCAAAGAAGAAACACTTGCCAGTTTGGTATGTTGTCCCTATTAAAGGTAAAGGTAAAGGGACCCCTGACCAGTCGTGACCGACTCTGGGGTTGCGACGCTCATCTCGCTTTATTGGCCGAGGGAGCCGGCGTACAGCTTCCGGGTCATGTGGCCAGCATGACTAAGCTGCTTCTGGCGAACCAGAGCAGCACAAGGAAACGCCGTTTACCTTCCCACCGGAGCAGTAGCTATTTATCTACTTGCACTTTGAGGTGCTTTTGAACTGCTTGGTTGGCAGTTGCAGGGACCGAGCAACGGGAGCTCACCCCATCGCGGGGATTCGAACCGCCGACCTTCTGATCGGCAAGTCCTAGGCTCTGTGGTTTAACCCACAGCGCCACCCGTGTCCCTACGTTGTCCCTATTATCATTGGCTTAATTCCACAGCTTCTGTAACATCTGTGATTATCCCAAGTGTCACAAGCTCTCAGGGCTAGAACTTCAAACACTTGCTCCATACGGTAAGTTAACATAACTGCAGCTCGAAATATCTTCTTGGCAGTCAAATATTCTCAAATTCTGGATGGGCCCCGCCTTCCCAGGCTGGCCATTGGGCCCTTTTGTGCAGAAATGACTATAAAAGGCAGTCAGTGCAGCAGCCAAACTTACCTGGCCTCCTATAATTGGCTTTACCGCAGCTTGCTGGGAGGGCTGAGGTGGTGGCAAGACTGTTGCAGTGCAAATGCCAACAACCGTTTACTGGGTGAGTCATAGTACAGACAGCTAAATGGAATTTAATGCTGGCACATGCAAATTATGGAAGAGATAATTTAAGGATCTAATAGTCCAAAACATGCCACTCAGCACTTTTTTAAAAAAAGAAAGAAATGTCAAGTTCATTAGCAACTGAGACTTAAAGAGCATGGATGAAATCCAACAGGGAAACACATGCGTAAGCTCTGTATCTTCAATGAATATTAGTGCAGATCAATGTATTTTCAATTAATATTAGTGCATATTAGTTTATTTTCTGTTCTGGGTTTTGGGATATATCTTTAGAACAAATTTATATTTAAATGGTTACTCCAGTCCACAGGGAAACCTGGGAAAATGTAGTTCTGTGAATGAGAAAGGGGAATTCTCAGCACCTTTAGCTAACTACCAATTCCCAAATTCCTTTTTTTGTTGGGGAAGCTATGACTGTTAAAAATGGTATAAATTGAGGCATGTTTGCAATGTAGCTATTCCCCAAGAATTATTTGATCATGCCAGTTTACATGAAATGAAAGGTGTCTTTCAGAAGACCATTCAAATTATGCGTACATCTTTTTGGGATTTAAAGTGGATGGCTCAGTTGGTTAGAGCGTGGTGCTGATAGCACCAAAGTTGCAGGTTCAATCCTCGCAAGCGATAGCTGCATATTTCTGCCTTGCAAGGGGGATGGACTTGATGGTCCTGACTCTACAATTCTATGATTCCTTATTCTACACCAGGCCAAGGGCCCACAGCAGTCTGGTGCCAGTCCTGATCCTATATGCCTGACCCATATTTCATGTGTTGGTTTTCTGAAGTATGAATAACATGCATAATATACTGCAGCACAGATGTATAAGCAGAGCATCCCAGACATTCTGATTTCATTTCTAAATGATGTGAATGACATCATCATATATTTATGCCCAGCATAAACAGGAATTTTATTGACCTACATGCATAGATATTATTATTATTTTAAAACAACTTGTTTAGGGTGCATTTAGATGGGTCATTCTCACAGCTAGGGCTGATATGCCAACACCATGCATGATCTGTTATGCACCCTATATAATCTTAGTGGTGGAAAGCCACCATTGCTTAAGGACCACATCTGTAACGTGTGAGTCATGATACTGACCCATTTCCTTCAAAACCATAGTGTCAGGGGTTCTGGGACAGAGGCACAGGGTAGGCAGGAGATGGAGAGCGATGGGGATGAATCCCAGGACAGCGAGGAAGAGGATGACAATGACTCAAGAGATTCCATGAGTCTTTCCAGCGAATCAGAGGATTCCCAGAAGGGGGGCGCCGGTGGTCAAGCCCAGGGGAGCCCCAGGGGGGACGTGTCAGGAGCAGGGGGCCAGCTGGGCATCCCAAAGTGGCAGCTGGGTGTCAGGACCAGCCTCCCCGCCAGAGTGCAGCGAAGGGGGTGGAAGTTTCAGTGTGTCAGGGGAAGCGGCTCCGGCAGTAGAGAAAGGAGGGAGGTCGGAGCAAGCCATCCTCCCGGAAGGGAAGGGGAGCAGTGAAGGGAGTAGTGTAGCTGTTGAAAGGAAGGTTAGAGGCTGGGCGCGCGCGCCAGTTCAAATGTAGAGGCGCGCGGAAGTACAGGGAGCCCGGAGGAGGGGCCAGGTCCCAAAGCCCGCAGGAGGGGGCAAGAGCAGTCTGATTCCGTGTCAGAGGAATCCAGGAGGGGCGAAACCCCAGCGGGCAGAAGGACCCTGCGGAAAGGAAAGAGAGAAAGAGGTGGAGCAGCGCAAGCCTCTTAAATTGGTGCAGGGGAGGGACGGATTCAGAGGGGACTTCAGCGGTCTAAGCGTAGCAGACGTAGGGCTGCGCGCCTAGGATGTCAAGCAAACAATGAACTGCAATAAACACTTTTGTATATAAGAAGACATAGGCGTTGGTCTTTTGTGAGCTGAGACTTGAGGCAGCCCCGACACATAGGATTATATAAATCAGTTTCATGAGTGCATCTAGCTCAGTATTGTCTGCACTAACTCTCAGCAGTGCTCCAGGGTTTCAGATAGGGACAATGGTGTGTGGTGATTTTTATTTTATTTTTTGTAGGGGAGCAGCTAGGGCCAGTGGCACCAGCTTATGAGTACAATTGGAGGGACTGACATCACACCTCCCTCCATAAGCCGGGCAGAAGTTTCCTGGGCTTTGGGAAGGAAGTGCTAGGCCTCTTACAGGATGCTGGAGCCCTTCGTCCAGGTGGCCTTTGGGAAGGTCATGGGAGGGCTCTTGGACCCGTGAGAGCATGGTGCCTCCCTCTCTAAGCCAGGCAGGAGCTCATAGAATGACAACAGCCCGATAGGTGTCCTTCTTCATTTTAAGGCAGGTTCATTTAGAATTTCTCCGTCTCCATAGATTTCCAGTCTATCTAATTGGAAAAAGAAAATCAAGTGACCCTGGAGAATCACTCAGGCATTCTGACAGTTCTGAGTTATATCCTGGTTAAGCCTTAATGACCTTTGCTATAGTGTACATCTCACTTTATGGGAGATTTAATCAGCGAAATAAGTAATTATATAACGTCGTCTCCTCCTGATTTATGTTCTCTTCTTTTTGCGATACACCACGGTATTTGGCTCCCCGGCATTCCTGTCAGCCGTAGGCCTGCCTGACAGATTTAGGAAGTTTCCTACAACAACTTCCAAATATATTGCCTTATCTGTATGCTCCAGCACCGTCTCGAGCCCTGAATCCATCTGACTTTTAACACATTGCTCAAAGACTTATTACCTCCAACTATGTATCTTCTATAGGATACATTTGTCACATTCCAGAGTTTCAGGGTTAAGACTGACCTTTAGGATGGTGGCTCTGTGTGAAGATGAGCCCAGGACAGTAAACAGCAAAGCAGAAAAACAAGTTCTTAGGTATTATAAGGCAGCTTTACTCACTTCAGTAGGCCCAGAAGATGACACTGTTTATTGGCAAGAAGATTAACACACAATTGCATAGAAAAATGAATGCAACTCAAGAACAAGCTGAAAGGTGGGGTCTTCGTTCCAGCCAAAAATACCAGAAAATGAAAAAGAAAAAAAAAATCCATTCAGAACATATAAAAATATTTAAAAACAGTGAAGGTTGATAGGAAAGGGGAAACATAGTCATCTTATGCATACTTCAGAGGAGAGAATGGGGGAACGGTCACGTTTGGGGCAAAAGAGAAGGAGCTCTCAGGACCAGGGCCGGATTTAGGTTTGATGAGGTCCTCAGCTACTGAAGTTAATGGAGCCCTTTATAGGTCCAGCTGTCCTTTGTCAACAACAATTTGTCGCTGTTTTTTGTGTTGAATATATGCTATATGGTAATTTATGGACCTAATAGGTATTTAAAGCCATTGCACATAACAAAATATGTATTTTATCAAAGTAATTGTTGAACTTATCTTATATTTTGGAAATTTACAACTTTTTTTCCCCTTTAATTTTTTTTGGCAGGGCCCCAAGAGAGTTGGGACCCTCAGCTATAGCTTGTTTAGCTTATACGTAAATCCGGCGCTGCTCAGGACTCAAACCCACATTGCAACACAACAGAGCAGATCCCTAATCACTCAACCTAATCTCTCAAGTAGACATCAATCTTTCATGGGGCATTTTTCTGCCCCTCCCCACAGCCCTAAGAGCCAATCATAGAGGCCAGAACACAGGAAGAGCCCAAGATGACTGGAAGAGCTGATGCTGGAGGTCCCTGATTCAAATCTAGTGTACAACCTCTCAGCTAGAAAATGAGGCAGGCCCGTCCACCCAGGCACACCTGAGTCAACCAGCAGAAATGCAGCATGGACCTGCAGTCTGCCTCCTGTAGGGGTTTGCCAGCCATTTTGATTCATTCTCTCCCCTTGGCAACTCATGTGACCATCCAAGGCCAGTTCAGGACAACCAAACCCCTCTCCTTTCCTTCATCCCTCTCCTCAGTCCCTGCCTCTGCCTAACTACCTCAAGCAACTGCCTCGGGCAGCCTGGCAACAGCAGGGTTGGGCAGACTTGGGCAGTCTGAGCAGCATCCCCCTCTCTCACAGTCCAGGGGACCGAGTAATTCTACCTGATGAGCATTATAGCTGAGCATAGATTTACTCAGGTTCCTTATGCCCAGTTCAACCTTCCCACTGGAACCAAGCAAATACAGCTTTTAGAAAAGGTAGCTTGTACACTAGAGCTGTTTGGTGCACATTCTAATTTCTGGTTTGCAGTGCTGTGGAGAAGGGTAGCCAATGTAGCACCCCCAAAATGTTATGGACTACAACTCCCATCAGCCTTAGGGACACGGCCAACAGTTAGGGAAGATGAGAGTTGTAGCCCCCAGTATCTGGAGGTCACAATGCTAGTTGCTACTGTTGTAAACACTGCCAGAGTGGTGAATTTTCAGTTTTCAGACAGTGCCTTGCACACACCACCTCTTCATCTGGTGTGAATAAAGGGTCGTAGCTATTGTTTCTTGAACACTGTAGAATAATATATTCAACTGGGGAAAACATGTAGTGCTAATGCAATATGTGAAGTATTGGATTAAATTTGACATAAACCACATCCCACCAGAGGAAGTACATATATGTAGAAAAGAGGTCTGTATAAAACAGCAGAGAAAGAAGCCAGTGGCAACTGAATGCACTCATCATATGCTTCAGATCTGCAAATTAGATTTACATGGCATTTTCTGGGTTCTTGTTGTTGTTTTTTTAATTTACTTGATTATTTTATTCTTTTCTATCCCACCTTTTTCTCCAAGGAGCTCAAGGTGGTGTACATGTTGGGCTGAACTGCCTTCATATTCCACAGCTTTCTCACTTCACCGTGGTATCTGATAGACAGGAAGAAAAGGGAATTTGCCCAAGGAAACTATGCTAAGCCTAGTGAGATGGAAAGAGTGCATTTCTGCTTGGGGGAATAGATGTGGGTGAAATAAGGGATTATTCATTAGGCTCCTGAGGTTTTGTTGTCTGAGGCAATTTGCCAATTAGCAAACCGATAAATAACACATTAAACCATTAAGTACTTCCTGAATCCTCTCCTTTTGGGAGCAGGAGGCTTTTCATTTCATACATCATTTATACTCTTACAGGATCATCTCTTTCCCAGAGAACAAAGGAAATGTGGAGATAAGATCTCCTTCATTGTTACTGAGAAAGCTACAAGATCAGGGCCAAGAATGGCCTGAAGCTGTGAAAATTAAACATGTAGGAGTCTCTGCCCAAATTCAGCTCCTGATTGTTTGTTTAAATACTGCCAGAAATGGTCTTTCCCATTTTCCTCAGACCTTTTTTTACAATGGAAGAAATTTGGGGATATCCATGGTGGACAAATGTCATCTGACTTTTTACTTGGTGGGCACTTAGTACACTTATAGTTACAAGGTAGCCAAATGAATCCCCGCGACAGGGTGAGCTCCCGTTGCTTGGTCCCTGCTCCTGCCAACCTAGCAGTTTGATAGCACGTCAAAGTGCAAGTAGATAAATAAGTACCGCTCCAGCGGAAGGTAAACGGCATTTCCGTGCTCTGCTCTGGTTCGCCAGAAGTGGCTTAGTCATGCTGGCCACAGGACCTGGAAGCTGTACGCCGGCTCCCTCGGCCAATAAAGCGAGATGAGCACCGCAACCCCAGAGTGAGTCACGACTGGACCTAATGCTCAGGGGTCCCTTTACCTTTACCTAGCCC